ATTTGAGTTTTGATTTTGCAGAAAATACACGTATTGTTTTGGTGGTTGATCCTTTTTTAATTGTCTTTAGAAAATTTTTGCTCGAGAACACGAGTATCTTTCCGAGTGCGGTTCACGTTTACTCATAATTTGTTCGTAAACCATGAAACTGACAGGAATCAAATTAACCGCAGCCCAAAAGAGTTCGGAGATCACAAGTCACCCATTCTGATGACAAATCTAGAGCATTCCATACGATCCTGTTCACCTCAGACAATCCCAATACACAAACATTGAACAGATCGGCTTGCAGATGGATGAACACGCTGTAATTATGCATTAGGGTCGTATCTGTAGCGAAATTTGCTCCGGCTCCCTCAACAGTAGGAGCACATTCAGCGGTTATGGTTCACTGAAACCGGAGTTTGATAGTCTCATCTCTGAATAGAAAGCAGTAATCAGGTGTGCAGGCATTTGCTACCAGTGTCTGGCGAACAAAAAATGCACTTCAAATAAATGGTTGACCTATTTTGGCAAATGAGCTACCGATGTCACAAGATTGACAGATGTGATCATCTGTTCAGATCAGCAAATGCCGGTTCTGGTTTCGGTTGTCAAAATCGTCTCTCCTATCTCATTAGAAAATTCACTAAATTGCCGTAATAAACTACCATATAGATGTATGGAAATTGATCTTCCCGTACGGGTAGGTTTTGATAATGGTTTTGAAGAATACACGAAGAAGATTGATTGCTCTGGCGGTGAGTCCTTCAAAGAACTGTATAGTTAATCTTACTTCAGCGGATCAGAGGTTGTTTGATTTGATAAAGGAAAATGCAGCAGCGAAAATTTCAATGGAAGACCAAACAAAAATGCTTGAAATGCTAGCACAGATTTTGGTTTGTTCAAATGAGCTTGAAAAATCTTCTTTCATCTAATTATATTTTGTGGAAAAAGGTTGTTCAGAATAGCTTAGACAGATATAAGCGTATTTTTATGCAGTTTGGACGTGAGATCATATATAGCGAGAGTGAGTGTGAGAGAGACAGCTGAAGGCAGCCTGGTGGATAAGCGTGACACTCGACGCGGTACACATCCAAATAGAAACCAGCAACGTCTCGGGATGGGTGGTGGACGGAAGTGCACTGCTGACGATTCGTAATGTAGGAAAAAATGCTGCGCAATGTTTCCACAGATTTTTCGCGATACACGACACACCGAAACCATATCAATAACCAGCTTCTGCTTACAAAAGCTTTCAGATGGGAAAAGGATTTCCTCAAATGGTTTGACAGAAAAAATGAATGGTGATCCAGGAAAGTGTGTGATCTATTTCGAGCAATCAATAGAAGGGCGATTCTCGTCATTCCACAAGATTGTGTCCAATATTACACTCAGATTTGAAAATGTGCATAAATATGGATTGGTTTGTTCCATGCACATGTACAAGCTCACAAATGGATCAGCACGAACCAATGCAAGCGTGGTTTCATCAAGTATTTAAAAGAGCTTTGGGGAGCGGAAATCCAACACTATGCAGTGAGCACTAAAGCCATGATCATTCAAGCATTGTTCAATGGGTGCACAGTCACAGACATGTTTCATGTTTCTGAATTAGCAGAAACCTAGATTGTAAGCTTTTGTTAAAAAGAGAAGAGAAAACGAAGAATAACTGCCGGGAACTAAATGACAATGATTCTGTTGAGTTCTTGTCCAGGCCAATGATGTACTTGGCGTCAAGGATAGAAATATTTCAATGACATTTAATTTCTGAAAGAATGGGAGAGTCGATCAACAAAGGGAAAATGGTTATATGTTTTGCGAACTTTACAACAGTTTAAAGTATTTTATCACCCACTTGAGATTCGAACCACGAACCTTCAGTTTTGGAACCAAAATTCTTGCTGATGGGCTACACGAGCAATGGTCAACTACCGGAGACGAATTTTAGTTTATCAAGTATTTTGGAAAGGTAATTAAGTAAAACTTGGTATTCGTTAAATTTTTTGCGACGGTTCAAACTGATGGCTGCTCACCGTTAAAAGTTATTTCATCCTCCATAAGATGAACAAGTGGTTACATGATGTATCCAATTGATTCAATTCTCTGAACCCGGAAATCAAAATTTGTGTGGTATTTTTAATGTGTAAAGAATTCGGAACGCTTAGTTAATGATTGTGCGCTTATTCTGCTGGAATACAGTTGATGGACGTTCTCTTTTACTGCTCTATCCGCTTGGTTTGGTACCATTTGTGAGTTACGAACAAGGGAGTAGTTAATTTCTGATCACGTTTGTAATACCTATGATCTCATTGATTCACCCGATATCTGTGGAAGAAGCTTTGTCATCTTCATCATTGATTATTTATAGGAGTGTGGCAAGTGCACACAGCGGTAAATGGTATTGTGGCTCCCAGGAAAAGCGATCACTTGGTTGTTATTCATCTAGTCGCCCACAAACAGCCTCCCATTTAAGAAAAATTATGAGACTGCTGAGGTCTCGCTTGTTGTTCGTCGAGGTGAAACCCAACTGTTCATCTGTGATCACCAGAAAAGTTTTTTTTTTCGCCATCCCTGCTCCTCTTTCGCCTTACATTTTTCCACCCGTCCCCTTAATGTATCTGTGTTTGACTGAAGAGCGAAGTGCAAACTCTTTTCCATAATGTTATTTTGTTGAATTTCTCCACTTTTACCCTATTATGCTCTACCAGATC